GCACCTTCCCGGTATGTTTTTCTTCTTCAATTTCTCCTTTTATTTTCCTCTTCTTCTCTTTTCTTCCCTTTTTCAATTTTCATTTTCCGTTTTCATTCTCTAGAATTGGCTGTCTGTGGTGAAAAGGAGTGGTATTTCTTCTCCCCAAGGGACCGCAAGTACCCCAACGGCTCCCGCCCCAACCGTGCTGCCGGTACCGGCTACTGGAAGGCTACCGGCGCTGACAAGCCCATCGGCCGCCCCAAACCTCTTGGCATCAAGAAGGCCCTCGTTTTCTACGCCGGCAAGGCCCCAACCGGCGTCAAGACCAATTGGATTATGCACGAGTATCGCCTCGCCAACGTTGATCGATCCGCTACCAAGAAATCCAACAACTTGAGGGTAACTAACTCTTCACCCCATCTCTTTTCCGGTTTGAAATTTGAATTTGGTTGTTGATGGCTCCTGTGGGTTCATTAATTTTTGCAGTTGGATGACTGGGTGCTGTGTCGTATCTACAACAAGAAGGGATGCATAGAAAAGCATTACCAATCCACCGACGACAAGGCAGCCGAATTCCCAGACTTCGAGGAAGAGAAGCCCATTATTACGATGCCTAGCACCAGCAACATGCTACACCTCCCAATCCATGACAACCAATTGCATATGGACACTTCAGATTCGGTGCCCATAATGCACACCGACGACTCCAGTGGCTCCGATCCGGTGACATCGCCGGAGGTCACGTGGGATAAGGAGGTCCAAAGTGAACCCAAGTGGGGTGGAGGAGGAGCACCAGACTTTGACTTTTTCCAGTTCAATTACATGGATTCTTTCTCCATGACTGAGGACGATCCATTTGGAAGTCAGGTTCCGTTCCAGATGGACCATCTGCCGCCATTTCAGGATATGTTTTCGTGTTTACAGAGGCAGATTTAACCACCACCACCGCCGCCGCCGCCGTAAGGGCAGGACTAAGGGGTTGCATTCAACCCCATTGCCAGGCTTCCGCTTTCTACTATATATAACATAATATCCATATTTTTAGCAGATTCTTTGATGAACCCAAAACCAATATGCCCAAAAGTATTGTGATGTCTCCTTTTTTTGCTGGAATGAAGAATTTAGTTAGAAGAGAATTGACCGACCTCTGCTTCTAGAGTTGATGACCTTCATCCTCCTCGAGGCAAAACCAAGAGTCCTTATTCGAGCCCCTCTCATTCAAGCCTCGTATAATTCCAAGGCTGCCTGCAACTGCGACAAACCAAATGATGGTGCTGCTTCACCAGACATGAATGAAATCAAATTGATTTTTGTAATTCCAAAAGCAGAATTAATAAATAATGTCAGTTCCAATTCTATTACTACACTTGGTAAATCAATCCAAGTGTGTATTTCATGTTTTACATTACAAACTTGTTTGGTTGCGATGATTGTTGTGTGTACATACATTAGTTTTTAATACAAATTTTATCTATATCCTATTGCCAACTCCAAGGACTTCCCCTGGAACACTCCTTTCAGAATAAAATCTCTGATCATATATCTTCACAAGCTACCAACACTAGACTTGGGCACCCGATCACAGTTAGCAGTAGCCCATCCAATTGCTTGCTTCTCGTTGTTGTATACTACCATCTTATCTTGCATCGAAATATCTGTCAACCAAACCCCACACAAGATGAGGCTTCTTTTTTTCCCTTTTTCTCTTTAATAAAAGAATAATTTTGCATGGCTATGACGGCATTCGTTTATGAGAAATAACATGCAATGCATGCAAAATAACGTACGTACCACCAATGATATTGGAGTTCTCAAGCCCAACTTCACTGCCGTTCAGAATTCCCAAGCAAACATTCCCCTTGGACTGCCAATCCAAAACTTTAAGTTAAATCATTCAACTTATAAATCCAAACAAAATGTTAGTGAATCGTCGTTGTAGTTGTAGAGGCTTGGAGCTTACCGATATTATAAGATAACTTTCCGTTGGCATTTCGAACACTGCTTTGCTTCTTCTGCCACTGGAAAAGCTCAATGCCAATGGCTTGAAATATTTTCTCACATCACGTAAGCTTTTGAATGGATTCCGCCCTCTCCAGCAGAGCGGAAGCGTGTCATCATCCTTGGCTTCTCTTAGCGGTTTCCCAGTTAGTTCTCTATTCAACTACAAGAACAGTACCAACATGAACTAAAGAATCATTGAGAAAAAGAATCAAAGGTTTTTTTTACGGATGATTTACCAAAGATGTTATAATTTGATAAGCCTGAGCATTGAAGTATGTGTAAGAGCTTCCACTGTCAAAAACTACGAAGAGGTTTCTGAGTCCAGTACTTCTTCCATTGAAGAATAGGTCCCCAAACCCAGGGGAGTAGTGCTTCCTGATACAATCACATAGAGCATGTTTCGTGAGAACAGGAGTCAACATGAATCATAACAAGATAAATGTATGATCAAGGTAGGTTACTTACGGGTAGTCCCGTGACATGGGCGTCCAAGCTAAGCGATACGGATCATAAATATCATCCCCAAAGAAAAGATATCCTCCTCCTTTGCTGCTGAAACAGTGACCAACAACGTTACGGACAATGCCCTGATTGTGCAGCTGTGAAACAATGCTTACTGCTCCCTTTCCAAGGCCAAGTACTCCATCCATGGGGTGATAAGATGATGATCCAGGATTTTGATCATAACCACATCTGAGTGTAATCAAATGAAACAAAACTCAGTACTACAGATTCAAATAGCTGACACGCAGCTGACTCTACATGCATTTTATTTAACCACACAAACTGGAAACTACGGTTAGAACTTTAGCACACCGAATATAAATCTCTCGTACTATATAGTCTTTATTGATGACTGTTGAAAATACTAATCAGAATCATTCTGTCACGAAATCTAGTGCCTGTTGCTACCTTAATTATCTGGGTTCTTCATGAATACATGTGTTCCGTATTCAGCATAAGCTCTAGCTTTACATTATGCTATTCGTTGTGTTGCAAATATCAGGAGTTCGCCAAAAGAAAATATATGGCAGCATGAAAAGGTGTTTATTTTTGCATAGCTCTCATGTATGGTTTTAATTGGAAAACGCAAGGTTGGTTTATATTGCCAGGAACTCAACAAAGTAATTTGATTAAGAAGAATAACTGAGGCAGTCAAGCGGCTTACCCGAGGGTTAAACGGGGTCTAATTGGATCCCCATTGGTTAAGTTGAGAGGAAAAATATCCCTGACAAGGACTCCAAGAGACGAACCTCCATCTGCATACTCAACCTCGTAGTCACATTGATCTGGGTTCTCACATCTGTGGTCAATAGATGAGTGCAAGGACATACACAGAGGGTCCTTACACGGGACAAGATCGTTGCTTGGTTGATAGAGCGGATGAGGTGTCTGAAAGGGAAAGAAGGTCATCAATTTGATACATTCAATCTCAACTCTCAACACCAAAAGAAATGACAGAAGCAATAAGCATATCAAGAAGAAGAATATTGAAGAGACTTCAAATAAAACATACATTCAAAGATGTGAATTCAGATTACTTGTGATGAGAACTAACTCAACTGAAGCCGAAGGTGTAGTTTAGTAACTTTCTTCGTTAATTTGGTCATCATATTTTCAAGAATACCCTTGCAATGAACATTAACTGCTGAATCAAATAACAATTTACCTCAGTGCACTGCTGACATGGAGCGTCACATTGAAGCCAAGTGAGGTCACTACCGGTGTCAGGATCTAGAAAGTAAGGCTTTGGAGGCTGCCCTATAAAAAGGGTAACGTTATAGAACCTGAAAAAAGATACAAATTATATGATCTCAAACACATTGATGAAAAGAATTTTATGCTCTGATAGTAAAGAAAGTGAGCCTCAACAAGAACAGCGATATATATCTTCAAATGGGTCTAATTATAGAAACACTTCTTTTGGGGATGTGTTCCTTTTCTTCAAAATTAAAAAGCCATATTGAAAAGCACTCATAAATACACCTCAAACGCAATTGTACAGGAACAGAATAAGAACTTAGGGCAGAAAGTCAAAACATGGGAAACAGAGTCTCGTAGTCTCCTTAATTCCCATTTAACACGGGGGAAAAGATACATTAAGATAAGATTTGCAACGGCCTCCCAAACTCCAATTCCCATTCTTTCCAGGTTGTCACAATACACTAAGATCAACGACATGAATGTGATACTAAGAGGCATCACAATCACATTGAACTCCCTTTTCAGCCACTTCCGTACTTCGAAACAGTAGAGTAAAATCGAATTAGGAAAAACAAAAGCTGAAACATGGTGGAGCTGTGAGCAGAGTTGTGGCTTACCCATTTGGAAAGACGTTCCCTTGAAGAGGCAGCACAATAGAGGGTGAAGCAATCGAAGAGGATGCGGATGCGATCGGCACCGACAGAGTTGGCCTCCTCCTCTCCCATAGCTTATCCTTAAAGAAAGAAGAAGCTGAACATGGAGCCAAACAGCTTATGGAGGACACCATCAGCACCAATATCATCAATACCCCTTTCCCCATGATTTGACAATCGAAGCCTATATAAAATCAGTTTCTTTCACCCTTGCTGTGGGTTCGGGGCATCTCTAAGGGATGGAACCAAAGCTTGAAAAATGATTGATGGAATTTGTGGAGATTTGGTTGTGGTCTCTTGGGCTTGGACTTTTTTTTTCCTTTTCTGCTTTGTTTTGGGACCCGGATTCATATAAGCTTATTACCTTCCTTTTCCAAGGGTTACACTAGACCTTTTCTACCACAATTTCGGTTCTCTTATAATAAATATAGCCTTCCTATCCCGCCAAGAATCACATCTTTCTTTCGCAACATTTGCATGGATTTGTTTGTTATTCTTTTCCCCCGCTGAGGAGGAGACTTCACGAGAGGGATTCTTATTCTTTTCCTCGGGCCCTGGATGAATGATGGCATTTTGTTGAAGAGATCCTTTTATATTGCTTTGTGCCATACAAATCATTAATTGCAAGTAAAGGAAATCGAAAGGAACAACCACAAAAGTTCAAAAAAGGAATGGGCTGTCTCTTTAGCTTTTTTCAAAACGCATTCTTGCATGATTTTAGTATTCCTGTCTTGTAAAAGATAGAACACAATAGGACTCCCTACAATAAAAAGATGGGTAAAAGGGAGCGGGGAGGGCATTACATCAATGCTGTTAAGTGCTATTATTCCTGCTCGTAATCAAGCCACACAAAGTCCATAATTGACATTGAGCAATATTTAACTATTGAGTGGTTTAATGTCAGGACCACAAATAGCAAAGATCAAAATGTAACACACTTATAGAAAAATCAACGCTGCTATAAACTTTGAAGCTCATTGTCACAAAGCACAGTTGGTCTGCAATCAAGGTGAACACTAGAGATACTTCCTCGCAAGTGCACGAACTTTTGTGTCGAAATGTGAAGATGTGATGCGGGATCCAGGCAAGTAGAGGGGATTAAGTATAGTCTGCAAATTCACAAAGCCATTTAACATCATGAGCATTATCAAACTGACAATTGCCACCAAATGAATTCCCGTAGCAACAATAGAGAAAAAGAATTTGGAAGACAACAAGGTTCAGGTCACAGTCATTCATTGGAAACATGGGGAGTACAAAAAAGACCAGAGCCCATCAACTAACAAATGGTTAACCGACGTTTAATTGTCTTGAACTAATTAACTTTGATTTCATCCGATAGATGAAATTCAAGTAAATTTGATTTAAAGCTGAAAGACATCCAAGGAAATAAATTTTTTTATATACACATAACTGGAACAATTATCCAAAGTTTAATAACTTCAGTCGAAATTCTCACAAAAAGGTTGACAGTGGTGATAGAGTTTCCAAAAATTGGAAATAGTGTACTTATACATGCACATAACATAGGAAAAGAAGAGGTGAGGCTCTAATCAAATTTCCCAAGGACTTTCTAGGAAATTTTTTCCTGGAAAGAGTTTAATATCTTTGCTGTGAGAAAGTATGTACTACGGAAATTGCCAGGAATCAAGAGCTAAGTCTCCTTTTCCTTTCCTGTCAAATGGAATGGATAAATAATATAAAAATATTCCACAAAATTTAATCACTCTCGTCAAAATCTTTGCAACAACAATGTTACATCATTCACTAAGTTTCAAATATAGTACAGAGTAGACTAACGGAGACCAAACCAAAGTGTCAAACCTTTTATCTAATGTAGTGCTAAACGTGAATTAAAGGTTTTGAAATCCTAACTAGATGAAACTTACAAAACTTGATAGGAATACCAACTAACAGTGCACTAAAAAACCAAAAGAGAAAATAATAATAAATGAAGGAGAGGAGTCACAGAAGTTCTCGTATTGGAAACTCAATGTAGAATAATCAAGGAAATATTTAATTTCATTAGCAGAATAGCTGATTAAAGGCATACCATACATTGATTGGTAAATTTTTTCCAATGGAAAAGTACGTAGTGCTGGGGATGGGTGGTACTCCGGATCATACTATTATGACAGCAGATAGAAATCAGCAGAACAACAATTACACTCCCCTCTTGACACCACTTTCTTACTATTCAAGAAAGCATCAAGAATTCAAAGTTTGATTGGCTAATTGAATCATATATCAGGAGAAGATGACAGACAAGTTACCGGGAAATCTTTATCACTTACATTTTGTTCAATGTGATGTAATCAAGTCGAGCATAATGCTGAAGTACACTGTTAGAGGATATTAAATCTGGTATGTTCCAAACATAGCTTTTCTACAAATAGTTCTTTCAGCAATTAAATTATGATGATGAAATCTTATCTTTAACCCATTAGATTTTTTTTTTCTTCATATATCTGTGAGTGTCCGGACCCTCTTAGTGCACCTCAACAAATTCATGGGACAAACACGTAAATCCACTCGATAAATTATTAACAATATTTTGTAACTTTACTACACGATTTCAAATCATTCTATCGATTTTATTTCCAAAGCCAATTAATTTCCTTAGAAGAAATAGTTCACAATCCTGTGCTACAGAGACAATAATAACACATTAAAGGAATCTAGAGGAGCCATGAATCTGAGCATCCTGACACGACCAAACAACAAGGGATCAAAAAAATGAACCATCCTTGCCACCCCTATCTCAAGCTTCATGCAAACTCAAGATGACAACCTGAACTCATAACAAATCAACCACTTACTCTTTTTGATCAATATATACAGTTAAGACTCAAGGGATACAATTTATTTATTTATTTAACAACTGTACCATTCCAAATGTCAAAATTCAGTATATTTGAGGGAAAAGAATGAACTCTATCTAGTGGGATCTAATCAAATGAGGTACAGTTCACTCAACCTAAGTAATATACCATAGTAAATCAAGCATTAAACCTTCCAAAATAGCAATAATAATAATAATAATACCTAAGAAACATGTCAAACTTACCTTTATGTAAAGCTCGTGAACCTCTTGAAAAAAACTCTTGATTCCATCATCATTGCGAGAGTCATGAAGTAACATCAATCGCGTATGTAGTGAATAGTCAAAGAAAAACCAGAAAAGGAAATAATAGGAACTATAAACTGAATTTAATCTCTCAAATGTATATAGAATTCCAGAATCATAGTACAACATTGATCCCATTACAATGAAAATTTTTGCCTGCAATATCTTAAAAAAGGATTGGAACCGTTTTATCAGTATAAATACTTCAGTAATGCAATCGGGGTGGTGAGGGTATAGATTCTCGAGAACAAATATTGGACCGGGAAAAAGAGAGAAGGGCAATCATTAATTCTTAAAACCAGCATTCTTAAGACCAAAGACCAAAGAGGCGGGGGAAAGCTCTAGTAAAACTTCTATTAATTTAGAGTTATCTTTTAAAAGTGAATAAATTGATGAAATTTGACTCAATTCCCATCACATTGTTCCCGTAAAACCCCCCTCGATATTAAAGGATATGGCCAGCGGTTACATAAACAGACACCACCAGATCATTGAATCTATCGACTGCTTTCAAGAACCTGCAAAAAACGCACCAAGAAAAAGAATCTAAAGGGAATTTCAAAGGAAATAGAAGAAAAAAGAGGTATCTCGATGATCTAATAATAAAACTGAAGGAATAAGACCTCACATAGCACTAGTAGTCCATGCCAGGTCTTGAACAATGTCAAGGGACGCGTGCAATATAAATTGATGCAGCTGAGCAGAATCCTCTCTCTTTCATGTCAAGCCAAAAAGATAAGCGACCAATGACAGTCAAAACTAAAGTAATTAAAGAACCAAAATGAAATCATCTTTTTTTTTCTTTTTTGGCGATCTCGTGAAGGGAAAATGCGATCTAAAGTGAAACGATAGAAAATGAAAAAGAAGGAAATACTTTAGCAGCAGATCCGACTTCAGCTTCATAAATAGGGATGTTGTTCCTACTGACGATGATGAAACAAGCTGTGGTCGCCATTGCAGAGAAGCAATTCGAGAAGTTGCCGGCGGTGTAAGATGAGAGAGAGAGAGAGAGTTGAAGTGAGGGAGACGAGTTGGGTTGGGCTTGGGTATTTCTTTTGGGCTAACTAATTGCTAAAGGTGCTAACTTGCATGCAGATATGTTTAGATGTGTTATTATTTAGAATTTTCAATTTCTAATTTATCCCCAGTAGATTTTTTTTTTTTTTTTTTTTTTTGAGCTGATAAAAATTGTAAAACAACCTAGCATAATGAGTAGAGAAGTTAGGGATTTTAAAATAAAAAATGATAAATTTTAATTAAATAAAATATAATATAATTATAAGATAATTAGATACTAAACTGTATATTTGAGACCTAAATAATTAGATAACTTTTAATTATTAAGTGAGTGGTTTAATTCATTGCGCATCTAAATTATGTTAATAATGAATAAAATAACATATTTAGCATCTAAAATCATAAAAATTCTAATAGAAACAAAATTCCAAAAAAAAAAATGCATGAACTTAATAGGTCCAAAGTTTCACATCTTACTATAAAAGGGTTGAGACCATATTATAAAATTTGATTTATATATAGGGTTTAGTTGTGGAATATATTTTTTATATATAAGATTTAGTTGATAGCTTGTATTAATAGAAATGAATATTTGACTTTCTATCTCAACTTTATTTCTCATTCTTAATAGATCTAACAGATCAACTACCCAAAATTTATCTGTAGTGTCATATTCCAAGGACAACCACAAAACAGAAAGACTCAAAAGAGCGAAAAAAAAAAAAAAAAAAAAAACCCAAGTATCTTCTTCCTATTCCTATTCTATATTTTCTTCTTATTCTAGCTTTTTCATCGGAGGTGCCTCCTCTTTTTGCCTCTGAATCAGCTTCAGAGCTTCTCTTCCCTGACCTTCTTCTACCCTTCTCCTATTCTCTTCAAGCATCCTATCCACCTCTTCCCTCTCCTTTCGGGCCTGTTCCTGCCAAATGTTACATTCAACAACATAATACTTTAATTTAACAGGAAATATAGGCAGAAATTTCACCAAAAAGCGTGCATATAAGCATTAGTACGAGAGCTTATGCTCAAAGTGGATAATATCGTATCATTGTGGAGGTCCGTGATTCCTACACCTCCTAGCCATCCCCACTACCTTCCACTTCACCAGATTCACCGGATAGACACACCCCCTCATCCATGCCACAACAACCACTACTAGTCATGTAGGCAACATGGCAAAAGACATTAGTTTATGGTGTAAGCAAGCATGAGTACTGATGGAAATGGTTTGTCCAAACTGTATGATCGCAAACTGTATTTTTTATTACCCAAAGTAATCTCTCTCTAATACATATGATGAGTATCAATGTGCACTTGGAGTTGTACAACCATTAAATGTAGCAAAAAGAATAGGAAAGAAAATGGGTACCTCTTTCAGTCTTCCAGCCGTAAGGGCAGCTTCTTTCTCTTTCTCAAGTTGCAGATCAACGTCATCAAACAATTTCTTGCAACCTTCCTCTATTCGCCTCCGTATTTCTAATTTAACTTCTTCAGAATTTAACCTTTCAGCAACATTCTTCTGAATTAGTTCTTCCATCCTCCTACGTGCATCTTCTTCTAACTCCTCTTCTAACTCCTCCAACTCTGCCTTAGGCCTGTACAAGGCACTATGTCCATCTCATTTATTTAGTACATACGAAGCTTTGGGGCCAAGACAGTAAAATAAAGAAGACAAATGCACAAGGAATCATAGTGCTTCAGAAGTATGCTTACATTTTGTTTGAACCAAGAAGTGCAAGAAAGAAAGCGTTACAAAATGATGGGCCAAATCAGAACCAAGAAGTGCAAGAAAGAAAGCCTCAGAATGCGCATCTCTAACTGCACCACCTTTCTATTTATTTACAGTTGTTAGCCGTTTGAGAGCTAACTTCCATAAGCTCACTCGTATTTTGTTTGATTTAACTAAATATCTTCTACCCCTTTGTTCAACTGCTTCCATAAGCTCATTTGGTTGTGAAACGGTTGTGTTCTCTATCTTTGCAAACAGGCGTTTATACAGAGTTAAAGAAGGAAGTCTGAACTAAAGCATGGAAAGAAACGAAGGTAGGATTTGGGATGAATACAAATACATATGATTTTACCTCTAATGGTCAAATCCACAAAATTCCGACATATATATCATAATCTAATTTTTCTAACAAGTATACAGTTATGGAGCAGTTTTACAGTCTCATTGTGGTAGTGGGGGTAATGACCAAATCAGATCAATCACCTCAATTTTAACAGTCTAAATATTACTATAAATGTTCAAATTTAAACCCCTCAACTAGTCTGCTACAACGATCTGTTCATCTCTCTCTACCACCACGTTCCCTTAAAGATAGTGAAAGTGTTCCTCCTGCTCCAACGTTGTAATATGCAAGCGACATATTGTCCTTGACAAATCCCGGTTTTCCACTCAATTTTTGTTTGTTTGCTGGAAGCTGGATCTCACCCGCGATCTTCCCTTTTAAACTTCCAACACTTTCAGTTAAGGACTGGACTGTAATCTCAAGAACTTGACCTTTCAGATTTCCATCATCAACATTAGGAAAAGATACACTGATGCGAATGGGTCCCTGCCACCAAAGCTGTAATTAAGTTTCATATTTTAACTAAACATGTGTAAAGTTCATCAAATTTGAGCATTTCGTAAAGTTTCGTTCAAAAATATAGATAGAAACTTAGTTTTTTCACTTAATGATTTAAGTGCCTCTATGATGGTCTAGTGGACAGGGTTGAGGTTGTGAGGTCTTATAGACACGAATAAATGCTTTGTTTCTTCATTAATTTATGCTTAAGACAATCTTTAGTGGGTATGTTAAGAAACTAAAATTATAAAACAACTTTTTTAAACGAGTTAATGACCCTTGAGTCAAGCACGAAAAAAAATGACTGTTTTAGGGTTTAGGGTTTTAGGGTTTAGGGTTTAGGGTTCAGGGTTTAGGGTTCAGGGTTTAGGGTTCAGGGTTTAGGGTTCAGGGTTTAGGGTTCAGGGTTTAGGGTTCAGGGTTTAGGGTTCAGGGTTTAGGGTTTAGGGTTTAGGGTTTAGGGTTTAGGGTTTAGGGTTTAGGGTTTAGGGTTTAGGGTTTAGGGTTTAGGGTTTAGGGTTTAGGGTTTAATGTTTAGGGTTTAGGGTTTAGGGTTTAGGGTTTTAGGGTTTTAGGGTTTAGGGTTTTAGGGTTTAGGGTTTAGGGTTTTAGGGTTTAGGGTTAAGGGTTTAGGGTTTTAGGGTTTAAGGGTTTTAGGGTTTAGGGTTTTAGGGTTTTAGGTTTTAGGGTTTAGGGTTTTAGGGTTTAGGGTTTAGGGTTTAGGGTTTAGGGTTTAGGGTTTAGGGTTTAGGGTTTAGGGTTTAGGGTTTAGGGTTTAGG